GGAGTCTTCCTCTCGTGTCCGCTGTTTGACCCCTTCTTTGGCGCAAGCGCCACACAGTCCTGGGCCTGTACATAAATCACTAAGCTAGTTTTCTTCTTTGCTATCATCTCTCTAGGTCACTAAAACTTGCCTTATTTTCCTCACTGGAAGGGCCCCACATTCCTTACGAATTGCATGTCTCCTCAAGTGGTACAGCTATCTAAGCTTATGTCAGCAAGCACGCTACAATGTTCAGCAAAGCAAGGTCGGCAAAAGCTTTCATCCTTAGTTTTAAAAAAAATCCTAACACAATAAGCAAAAGGCCCATTGTTAGCCTTGGTTTTAGCAAAAGATCCATAGTGCCTGGCATCATGTGTATGGGAATGAGGTGTTGTGAATATTAATAATGATCTGCATAAAATCATGACTGAAAATGCCACAAATCTGGATTAAATTGCTAAAATGGGTTTGAGGCAGAAGAGGCAGCTACGAGTAGGCAAACTTGAAACATTTCTGTTGTCCCCACAAGCCATTAGGAATTCAATGCAGGAGGAAAGGAGTGTGAAGGAGCAACTGCCTATGGCTTTGTGGAAGTTGGATGCAAATGGGAAAAGGAAGGAATAAATGGTGGAATAAGTTCAGGCTGTTCTGCCAGATACACTTAAGAGGCTGTAAACAACAGTGTTTTACTTCTCCCCGTGTGATTTTAGGCAACAGGAAGAGGGAAGGACTGAAGTTGATTCAAATCTCATCAAATATTCCTGCCTGAATGTACACTACCACAAGTAAGATCCTAGACAGCATGTAGGAGCTTCAGAGCTCAGGATTTTCTCCACAGACATTACTCCTGGGGGATTTCCAGGATATCCTAGCAATGCAGGAAAGGAAGATCCCATTTTTCCTGATGAGCTTTATCCACTCCCCACTGAGAATGAGAAGTACAGTAAAGAATTGTTCACAAATAAATGGTTGGACAAGAGATTCCAGATGGGAGGAAGGACACCAGAATGGAGATTATCTGCCCTTCCTCCTCCTCCCCAAGGTGATGTTCCTCAGGGTTTGGTGCTTAAGTCAGGGATAATGTTGGGAAGGCAACAAAGGTTTTTGAACCTTTTAAAGCAAGGGCTGCTTAGTTGCTGGGTGACAGTGAGGGTGACACCTTTGGGAATGAGATCCCTTCCAGAGCAGCTCACATGCAGCTGACTGAGCCTGCGTTTATTTTAGATCTTAACTTTAGCTTCTTTCAAATTCATATGCTGTAAAATACTCTGTTCTCGTAATAGATGTATAGTCACAGGTGGTGTAGGTCTCTTGGCACTGAACTGACCCTGTTTGGCTTTTATCTGCTAATTGTCATTGCAGTGCCATAAATATTTTGTTTATAAAACATCCTTCCTGTGAAAAATAGTGGCACAGCGACTTCTGCTGGATGTGCTTGCACCTTAAAATCCTCGACGTGTGTTTTTTGTGTGTACTTTCAATACGGAACACCACGGGGAGGAGCAGGAGCTGTTCCCGAGCTTTGTCAAAGCCACAGCGCTCCCTCTCCTGGCAGGAATCAGCCAGGGAGAGAATCCCATTCCTCCAGCAGAAAATTGAGTGTTTATAAAAAGCAAATGATCTCCTCAACAATCAGACAGAAATCACAAAGCCTTAATTCCACAGGAAATAAAGCACCACTTCAAGCATTAAACATGTGCATGTCGTTCCAAGCAGTTACAATCTCAAGAGCATCATTGCTTCAAGAGGTTTGGAAAGCTTCAAGTATACATTTCCTCCTTAGAAATTAGCTTTCCCTCCCACCTCCAGTATAACCAACAAGGTGTCCGGAGCCTCCCTCCAAAAATTTAAGGGAGAAAGCACTGATTAGTGTTTAGTTCTTCCCAGAGTGTTCCCTCTGCTGAATGAGTGTCTCAGTAGCACTGAGGGGTAATGGTTGGGACACTTAAAGCACTGACCTTGTGTTTAACCGCTGGCAGAGCATCCACCAGTGTCTGCAGCCCCTCGTGCCGTGCTCCCAGCTGCAGGGACATGAAGGAGTCAGAGAATCATCAAGTTGACATTCTACTTATCTACCATAATCAGTATTTTTTGATAACAACAATAATCACAGAATAGTTGGGGTTGGAAGGGATCTCTGGGGATCATCTAGTCCAACCCCCTGCCAAGGTATGGTCACCTACAGCAGGTGACACAGGAACACATCCAGGTGGGTTTGGAATATCTTCAGAGAGGGAGACTCCACACACTCCCTGGGCACCTGTCCCAGTGCTTTGTCACTCTCAGTGTGAAGAAGTTGTTCCTCATGTCGAGGAACTTGTTCAGTTTGTGGCCATTGCTCCTTGTCCTGTCACTGGGCACTACCGAACAGAGTTTGGTACCATCCTCTGACACCCCTGGGAGATATTTGTATGGATTGATGGAATCTTCTCTCAGCCTTCTCTTCCCCAGACTAACTAGGCCCAGCCCTGCAGTCTCTCCCCATCAGAGAGATACTTCAGATCTGTCATTATCCCTCCTGGACCTTCTCCAGTAGCTCCTTGTCTTTCATGAACTGTGGAGACCAGAACTGGACATGGTGCCAGGTAGAGGGGGAGGATCAGTTCCCTGACCTGCTGGCCACACTTTTCCCAATGCACCTCAGGATTCCTTTGTCCCTCCTGCCCCAGGACACATTGCTGGCTCACAGACAACTTGGCATCCGCCAGGACCCACAGGTCCTTCTCAGCAGAGGTGCTCTCTAGTAGATCAGCCCTCAACCTGCACAGGTGTATGGTGTTATCCCTCTTCAGGTGCAGGACCCTACACTTGGCCTTGTTGAATCCAGATGTATTTTGTCCCAAATTAACAGAATTTAATAAGGTTAATTAAACAATTTTTTACAAATTAAACAGAATTAACAGGTTTTAACAGGATGAAATAAAAAGGTCTCGTTACGGCCGATCACACAGAGTGAAATTACCTTTAAAAACACCCCAATAACAGCCAAGCCATTCCCTTCCATCACAGCTTCCTCAAAACTTGGGTACTCCACAGCATTCCAGTGGACCAAATGCAACTGAAACATAAATGAGTGAGAAATCAACACCTGCACAGAGAGAAATCTAACTTTTGATCTTTGTTCCATTTGGTCCTTGGCAATTTGAGACAATGCAATGAGCTGCCCCAGAAACCACACACCACAAAAACGAGGAACAAAGTGTTATTGGAAAATAATGGCCTTTCCTTTCCTTTTTTTTCGCCTTAAACAATAGCCAACTGCATTTCACATCTATGAAAGGGATTTAGTCTGTGGGAGTCTGGCTACAGGAATGCTGGTTAAAGGCACAGAAAAGCTCAGTGTTCCTGGAACTGAAGGGCTCTTCCAGCTCTTAGCAGGAAGAACAGAGCATACTGTTCTGCTGAGGAACACTGTCCTGACAGCATAAGCTTCTTCTGCACTGCTGACAGGCGATACATTGATGGCTATGTTTTAAATAAATACTTCAGCCCCAAAACTTGGTCACATGGTCTTGCTGGTAATATCTTGCCATGCTGACAGGCATCGCTGTGAACACATCAACAGGAGATATACATCTGCTCAAAAAAATAAGCAATAATCCCTTTTCAAATTCTCTCCTTTGGCATATAACTGTGTCTGCACCTGTCGCACTTACTGAGCAACTTCATATTTTTCCCCACTGGCTCCATCCTTTCTATTGACTCTTCCTTAGTAGTTACTTAAGCACAAAAGTTTTGCAACTTTAATAATTGCTTAAGACTTGAAAACAGAAAATCAAGTGATGATGATGATAACCACTATATTGCCACAGAACTCTGCTGCACAACACTTCTACACAAGATTCTAATAGCCTAAGGAACTTTTCACTTGCTGCAGCTCAGAGTTAAAGCACTTCATTTTTTTAACTGTGATCTGAGCTTACACATTGACCTGAAAATTTGATGTCCACCTGAACTGCACCTGGGAGTTCACTGAGGCCTGGTTGTGCCCTCAGCTGCTTTCTGCCTCATCCTTTTCCCTTTTAAAAGGAGGAAGCACAAGCAGGGTTGTGCCACTCTAACAGACAGAGCTAGAATACTTTGCTGCCTGTCCAGCATCTATCCCTGGGGATGTTCAGGGAGAAGAAAACATCATTGAAGCTCTCAGTAATGGAGCCAGTGTTCAATGTTCAGACTGAGTTCTACTCCAGAAAACAGAGTGGAGATGAACTTACTAATAGAACAGCAGATGACCTGTGGCACCTACCAGGGCTGATCCTTAACAGCTGCAATTCCTCAATTTGGAAGTTTCTAAGGAGCAATAGTCACAGACACACCTGAGTCAACGATTTGTACTGGTCCGCATTTCATCTCGTACCTCTGCTGGGTAGAATTTACTGTCCACTGTGTGCTCTGAACCCCAATCGTTGATAGCTCCCCAGTGGAAGTGGAACTGCTTCAGCCTGTACTGGTTTTCCAACGGGCCTCCAACGATTACTACAAAGCAAAACAAGACACACATGTTCAGAAACATCACTTAGAATTGTGCAGACAAGTAACTCTTTGAAATAAATTTGCCCAACTATGAGAACTATCTGACCCAGGAGAAACTTGTGTAAAGACACAGCAAGGATATATCTGCTAAATGACATGCCAGCAAAGCCTCAATAGCTATGGAAAATATTAACATTTCATATGATAATCAAGACTTTAAAACTCAATTTTACTAGAAAACTCAGTACAACATGTCAAATGTTCAGTTCTCCTTCAAGTTACAAAAATCCAAACACACTGCTCTGCTTCAACACAACTTTTGCATAACCAAAGGGAAAAGGTTTCCTGCACAGCCAGAAATATACTAATACTGAGCCTACAAACTCTTCAAACTACATAAGGAAGTATCTAAACACCCATTCGGGCAAGATTCTGAGTTCACAGAATCCCAGAATGGTTTGGGTTGCAAGGACCTTAAAGCTCATCTCATCCCCCCCCCTGCCATGGGCAGGGACACCTCCCACTAGCCCAGGTTGCTCCAAGCCTCATCCAACCTGCCCTGGAATACTTCCAGGGATGGAGCAGTGTGCTGGTTTGGGCTGGAGTAGAGTTGGCTTTCTTCATGGAGGCTAGTGTGAGGCTATGTTTGGGTTTTGTGCTGAGCGCAGGGTTGGTAATGCAGGGATGTTTTTGTTGTTGCTGAGCAGAGCTTACACAGAGTCAAGGCCTTTGCCGCTTTCCGTGCTGCCGCGCTGGCAGGGAGGTTGGGGGTGTGTGGGAGGTTGGGGGGGGGCACAGCTGGGACAGGTGACCCAGACTG